TTGTGTTATGCATCTAATTTTTCTCACCCCTAAGGCTCTGTTCATTAGGCGGTGAGCGAGGAACAGCAGGTTTTCTGTTACTGATGGAAGAAACCGGTGAAGAAAAACTTCTGTTTCTCTCACAGAACCAATACCTACACAGCATGTGCTGAAGACAAACAGACCTGATTAAAATAAAAACCTCCACCGCTTGTAAAACTAACTTCACTGAAAGTAAATGTGGAATTTTTCTTCCTACCTGATAATATCTGCCATCTGTGTAATAGAGGCATAACCCCCTTCTAGCTTAGCAGGATTGAACCTCAGTGCAGCAGAGCAGTATGCCAGTATGCCACCATGGTAAAGGCCTTGTTTACATTTTTCTAGATCCCTCTGGTCTCCCATGGACTTTCTGCTGAGGAGCTCTTTCAACATAGTGATTGTGTTAAAGGGGCATTCCAGCATAAAACTTATTATGTTATTTGTCATGTTATGTAATATTCCACATTGAATATTGCATCCATCAGCCACATCAGTTTGACAGAATTCACAATTTTTATCCTGGACCTGCCTACAAGTATCTAGTTTTTCAAAAGTGCCTCCGCCCTTCAGGACACATCATCAGAAGGGGGTTTTCCTAGTCTTTACACCAGAAAATCTCACTCTAGAGACCACCACAGCACCAGTGTAAGACACAATGTAGTGATGGTTATGTTTTTCTTTTTGAACGTAGAGCCCCTTTAATGTCATAAGTAGGTAGTAACTACCTTCTTTTACTACATTACATCCATTTAAGCACAATTTCAATAGATTTTTACTTTTCTGAGTTTTTTCAAATACTTGTACCCAAGTATAGTTGTGAGGAAAGTAATCTACCTTTTACTCGTTTCTGTGTTTAGTTTCATTCTATTCTGTTGGTTTAGCATGGATTCCTAAACTCCTGTTCCGATCAGCAGGATGTGCTAGCCAGCTAAGTTCTTCTGAATGTACTAAGTTCTTATGCAGTTTTGCAGGAAACAAATGGAAAGTTCACCAAATTTTTACAAAATTTCTGTATAATCCAGTCCTTGGGATGTAAACAGATTGATTCAGAGTGGTTTAATGTGAAGTGGTTTATTGCAAACAGATTTCTTTACAGTGGTGGTGACAGGAACCAGGGGTTACCGTCTCCTATTTTTTTTACAGTGGTGGAGATGGTAACTAGAGGTCACAACACAAATCTAGTCATTCTATTTACTATCCAAAACCATCAGTGAACCTTTATCGGATTCTGAAAATTTCTCAAGAACGGAGCACCAAACCACTCTGAATGAGTTTGTTTACATCTCAATCACTTAATTACGTAGATTTTGGAAAAATCGGTGGAGTTCCCCTTTAGGTTTTTTTGGACCTGGTAGTTATTTTTGATAGCAACACTGTCTTGTTCTTGAATCATTACTTCTATGTAGTAACAATATTTTATATGAGGATAAGTTCAGGCTCCTCTAAACACCTCAGACTAACACCAGATGAAGGCAAATCAATAAGGAGGTCCCAGACGTCCTGCTAGCAACAAGTGTTTTTGTTCAGGAGGTCACTGTAAAAATCAGTGAATGGTCAATATGTAAAGCAGATATACAGGACAAAATCTCACTTACCCTTCACCTTTGTTAGAACCTCAGTAAAACTCTGCTCAGGTGTTTCAGCAGTGAGGGCTCTGAGAGCTTTCAGGTCTGGGTTTAAGTTTACATAATCTCCATCTTCGCCTGACGACCCCATTGTGTTTACTAGTAGCTCGCGTTTGCTAACAGTCAGCTATAGGTATATTCAATTTGTGCAGCCATATGAAAAAGATATGGCAACTAACTACGACTTACACGTCGGTGGGGGTGCTTTTCAGCATTCTGTTAGCAAATAAAAGCAGAAACAGGACGAAATTCGCATTTATTTTTCTCAACCTCTCTGTAAGCTAACGCAGCGTGTCTGGTTTCTAAAGCAACGCCTGCATCATCAGCCTGCGACTTTGTTTTGATGTAGAGAGGAGAACTTCCACTCTGCAGTGTCTTCCGGGTTTCTCACACGCTAGAGGGCGCTCCTGAGCGAGTCCAAAATGAATAGGTTGATATGGAGCATTTGAGCAAAATCATAGTTTATAAACGCTTAAACATTTTTAATATAACCGAAATACTAACATTTCCTGAACAAAGAACAGCATAAACCATTTTAACACTGCTGTTATATTTTTAAGAGCTTTTAATCTCGAGCTATAGGAGTTTAAAACGGCGCCTCATGTACGTTCATCACGTCAGTGAGCGCGAACAGCCAATGAGCTGCTCCGCTCGCCAAACAATCCTCACGCTCTAGCAGTAATGCCCGCCTTCTGCTGCCCAAAACCAGTTTACTATAGAAAAAAGGAAATATAGGTAAGATTTCTTTGTTTTTTTTTAGTGAAATACATCCTTCTACTTTCTAAAATTAAAGGAAAGTTCTGAGCGAGTGATTAGAAACTATTTTAACTTTTCGTTTTTAGCCGTGCCTGGGTTCGATTTCCGGCCGGGCGACCGGGGTCCTTTCTGTGTGTCGTTTGCATGTTCTCCCCGTGTCTGCGTGGGTTTCCTCCGGGTACTCCGGTTTCCTCCCACAGGCCAATTGGACATGCTAAAATTGCCCCTAGGTGTGAGTGAGTGTGTGTGTGAATGTGTCTGTCTGCCCTGCGATGGACTGGCGACCTGTCCAGGGTGTATCCTGCCTTCCGCCCAGTGACAGCTGGGATAGGCTCCAGCACCCCACCGCGACCCAGAAGGATAAGCGGTTTAGATGATGTATGTATGTATGTATGTATGTATGTTTTTAGCCGTTGAGCTCCATTTACTCCCATTCAGTGAGGACTCACTCGCGGTCGCCCCCTGCTGTTTAGCAGTCCTGTTTTTGATATAACGGGGGAAGTAGGAAGAGGCCAGGATCCACATAAACCGGCTCTGGCCGACTCAAGACAAAATATGGGCTGCGTCCAAAACCACATATTAGCCTACTACACTACATATACTGCATAATTGAATGGACTTCTATTGGTGGTGTACTATTTTTGACCTACCATTTAGTGTGGTTATATGCGGTTTAGGACGCAGCCATGGCAAGTGTGAGCTACGCCTCAGGGTTTTCTTGATTTATTGAGTCTCTTAAATGTCGTAGCAATAAAAGGGCTATGTATACTATATATACTACAAGGTATATTAGGAATTTAAATTTGCAGTTAGACTGAAAAGTGTTGTCAAAGTTTTTTTTTTGTTTGGTTGACTTATGTGTGTTGACTACTTATTAACTTGTAATGTTAATATACAAGGCGTCCCAAAAAAATTGAAATGTAAATATCTGAGTAACTACATGTCCTGGCAATCAAAATTAAATAGGCTTCATGTTGAACAATACAAGATTTATTTATCAAAATTCGAACAAGAAATTCAGAGGGATGTAGATTTCATAATCGATGTGTTGTAATATCTTCCGATACTGGTGGTCGTCCAGACCCCTTTGCCCTGCACAGACAGCCTTCCTCTTTGAAGTTTTCGTGCCATGTCCAAATCTGCTTTCCAGTTGGTGCATTTTTATTGAATTTTCTCGAAAATGCCGCTGCGCACTCCTGTCTGACTGTGTTCGAGCATTTTCTAACACACAAAATGCCTTTTCATTTCTAGTGAACGCCATTCTTAAACCTGAAAAAAACATTCAAATTAAACCTGGTTAGTTTTTACACATTTTGATAAAATTTGAGATCATTTGAGGGAGAATTGGCTCTGTTATTAGACTACGGAATGATGTCAATTTTTTGGGACATCATGTATTTTGAGAAAATAAAGTCGTAATATTTCAAGAATAAATTGGGCTGACTGTAGGGGGGCTACGGCTTTTTTTCGAAATAGTACTTTATTCTCGAAGTCTACTGTTTTTATTTTTATTTACAGTGGCCCTAAATCGCCGTCGTAGGAATTTAAAGTTTGCAGTTAGACTGATAAGTGTGGTCAGTGTTTTGGTTGACTTATGTGTGTTGACTACTTATTAACTTGTAATGTTAATATATTTTTCAAAAAATGTAGCACACTGATTAAAAGAACTTGCCAACTCAAAATTCTTTACAGTGGTGGAATGAGGTCTCCAATGCAATTTATATATTATCCAAAACAACAAGTGGAGTCATTGCGTCTTATTATGAATTTTTATATGTCGATAATGGTAAAATAGTGGCAAATCTGAAAATCGGTTTTCTTTGGAGACTATTCTGCTTTATAACTCCCTCCATGTACTTTTCTGTCTCCTCTTAGGCCAAAATCTTTTCTAAAAAACTATTGTAAACAGTGTCTCAGGTATCAGGTAGCATGTTCATGAACATTCTGCCTAATAACTTTTTTTCTGATAGTTTTAACGGGCATTAAACGCTTCAGACGGTGGTTCCTTTCACCACCACTGTGAAAAATTCTCAGTAAATTTGTCAAGAATGGAGCGTTTCACATCAAACCACTCTGAACGACATTTTTGAATTACAAAAATTGGTGGGATTCCCCTTAATAATTCAGCTATGGAGAAAATTTGAAAAAAAAATTAAAATACATCAGTGAAATTCCTCTTTAACGTCCTAAATATGCCTGATCACAATCATTCGTACACCAGTCTTTTCTGACAGTTTTCATACTTTTAACTTTGTTGATTAACTCTTAGATTTTTCCTTTAGGTTTTATCAACATTTAGCTCACTTAGTGATTTTAGTTTGCAGGCCTAAAAAGCAAAATAATGTCTGAACCCACTTTTGTCATCAAATAGAGAGAATAAAATAATATACATATTTATCCGTTCCAGCTGTCACATTTCATTCTTTTCCAGCTCAAGCCCTGTGACACACTAGAGCTTCCCTACAACATTCTGTACAAAGTAACTCAAACACAGTTCTTTTCAAAAATAATTTAATATGATGAATAAAAACATGACAAAACACAACATACACAAAATATGTAAAATTCAAGCTCTGAGGCCAGCTAAAATGTATCGTATCATTTCAGCTTCAAATCAGCTTTCAAGGTCTTCTGTAGACTTTCAATACTGGCATCCAGAGCTGCTAAACCGTTGCGGAAGTCCTGCTCGTCACGCGTGTTAAACGTAGACCAGGAGTTCAAGCTCCAGTCCGAAGCTAAGGATTTTATATCACAGGAGGAAACAGTGTTCTCAAACACTGATGGCCTTCCCATGCACATTGATGCTTCACCCATCTTCAGACAGCGGCGAGCATTCTGGGACTGCTCTGCAAAGTTAACTGTACCCTCACCGGAGCGTTTCAGCTGTGAGCCCACACCATCAGCATGTGAGAGGAAATCTTTACCACGATTATCATCCAGAGTTTTGAGGTCTTGAGCTGGGGGTCCATTTACTATGCCAAGTTTTTCAAAAGCAAGGCCCAAGTACTTCAGTCCTGGATGCTCATTTACTTCATCAACCCGATTCCTCTCATTAGTCTGCATGCGAGAGCAATTCTGGGTTAATGTTGCTGCGGGGTGCACTTTCAGTGTCTCTTTAAGAGGGACAAAAGCTGTTCCACTTTCACTCCTCACTGCTTCCTGAGTCCCACCCCCAGCTGAAGTGTCCTGTGCTGGCCTGGGTACTGCCAGACGTTTGGGTGAAATTGCTTTTGTCTCACACGCTCTACAGCTCTCTTCTCTACCCCTCCACTGGCAATGGGAGGAGGGTGAGAAGCTGTGGGGTTGTGGATGAGACTTCTGAGGGGAAGCGCTGTGTCCTGTGTCCCCCAGAGTCTGGAGGTAGGTCTTAATGGAGTCTGAGACTGGGTCAGTCACAGCAGTCTCTTTCTGTTGATTCTCGTAGAGATCTAGAACACTCTTGGTGAGCTGAGAGGGAGGATTGGGCACCTCTGTCTGAGTAAGCTGGCAGGCAATTTCTCTAGTAGGCCTCTTCTGGAGATTTCTGTGCACAATAAATGAAGGAATGAATGAACAGACAGGTATACCTGTGAAATATTTATCTATTTTTCTTATGTCAACAATTTACACAGGTTATTCCATTGTACTTATATCATACCTAATGATCTCTTGTAGTCTTGTGATCTCTGCCTCCTTCTGCTGGAGGCTCTGTGTCAGTGCAGTGTTTTCCCTTTCTGAGTCTTCCAGCTTAGCCTTGCAGTTTCTCATTTCAGCCAATGCCTCACTCACATCTAAATTACAACATAAAAGCAGTCAGAAACCTTTAGTGACCATGACTAATCAAGAATATGAGTTCATTTTGGTATTTTGTGAAAATTTAACACAGTTGTTGATACGTCCGAATGAGTACTTGAACATTAATTGTCAAAATCCTTATAGAGTAACTACACACCACTATTTTCAACTCCACATCTGGCTCAACTTGAAAAATGCTCAAAAACGCAGTGATGTTTGAGTTTGGAGGTGGGGCTGCGAGGGAAACTAGGCAGGCTGGGCTGCTGTGTTTTTATAGCTAATGTTAGCTACCAGAAAATATGGGAAGTGATGGAATCAAACAGCACTTTTGCACCTTCAAGGTCTTACAAGGTTGAGGATTTTTCTCTACTACCATCCCCAACTTCAACGAGGGAAGGTGGTTCTGATCAGGCAGTATGTCTTGAGCCTTAACAGTATGAGCCACTGACTCAAGCTGCTGAAGAGTTAACATTGTGCCAGAAAATGATTAACAGAGGCGCCGAACGGTAGAACATTCCCTAAAGCTGTGACAGCTAGCTTCTAATTATCTGTTCAGCAGGTCCGTATTCAATATAACCCAAGTCCTAATTTCTTAGATGCACTGAATTATGAATGAATAAAGTGGATTTCTTTGAACATTGTGTTTCATTCATTTTGACATCAAGCTATGAAAAACATACTTCTACTAGGCCATCAGGGTACCATTTCTTTCTAGGCTGGGGTTGTACACTGCCTCACTGGTCATCCAGAGATCCAGTGGCCCTAAATTCTTACGTTCTGCAAGCTGTTCTTGGCACTTATCAGCAGCTGTATGGAGACTTGCAAGAACCGTCACTTAATTGGACCATTGGGTCACCTAATCATACGTTGAACGTTAGCAGTATAAGGCTAGTTAAGTCTAAATGGAAAACAACTACAATATCTACAAATACAATAACTAAGAATTACCAATTATAACCAACTAGAACACTAAATAAACACCCTAGATGCAATGTTATATATGGGAAAACATCCAAAACAGCGCCAATGTTCTCCCTCGCTGCAGGCTCATATGGTTTCATATTTATGAACGTGGCACAAGCAGAGCCATCTCTCTACATGGCTCAGGGCACGAGTAGGGCGTCATCAGGGGGCGGTACTGTTGGTTGACTGATTTGCATACTGTGACATGTCATTGTACATTGTATTGTTGGTACGAAGACACGTCATCCGTGCCTGTTTAATTAGGACAGAAAAATGAAAAAAAGAGCTGATATTCCAGCCTGAAGTGTTTAAGTGATGCAGTGTGGATTGGATATACAGCTGCTCACGCTTCAGATGAGCTGACAGATTAGTGCTCTAAATTATAATTATAATAATGATTTACTTTAATGTGATGATCTTGTAGTTTGGTGGTAGCAGAGCAGGTCCTGTGCTGTACTAACAGTGTGTGGAGGAGACAGTGCAGTGTGTGTATTCTCTGATACAGCAGTAAAAACCTCTGATTATGATTTTGTCAGATCTGTTTGTTGTTTTAAACCTGCAGTAAAACTGTTTTTGCCTGAAGCAGATACGTGATGGAGTTGGGTTTGCTTTTCTTACCTAAGCGTACGCGACTGGTCTCTAACTCGCACTGCTCTTTGCTCTGCTGCAGGTCATTCTCTTTGTCCTCCAAAGCCTGCTGTAGTCTTTGGTTCTCCTGCTGAAGGTTTCCCAGCTCCCTATGGCTGTCATTTAACTGAGTTTGAAGTGTGATGTTTAGGGACTGCAGTGTGGCCACTGAAACACAGACATACACACAGTTCTAAGCTCATTCACTGATTCGCTTAACACAGCAATATTACTAGCTGAAGTCCTACTGTGTTGCTTTCTCAAAAGGGATTTAAAAAAAAAAAATGGTTAAAATAAACTGCACCATCTGCTGCTGCTAAACACCTGTTAGACAGCTATGTCTACTTACATTCCAGATTGCAGTCTACTGATCTGGCCTGCCTTTCAGCTCTCTCCCGCTCCATTAACTGTTGATTCAATATCCTCAAACGCCTATAAAACAAAACACATATGCACACACGATATCTTGGCAAAATAGTAGTTCAAAACTAGTTCTAATCAATCAGCCAAGACATGTTTGGTGTCTGAAGTTTACTTCTTTAGTTTTGCACTGGAGCTACAAAATACCTAAACTTTGTGACTAATTTTGTCCACTATACTAGCAGAGTGCTACTGACCTGCGGAGCTGCACATTCTCACTCCTGAGCGGCTGTAAGGCCAGTGCAAGCTCAGCCTGCACATTGGTGCTGCCCACCATTGCAGGTAGAAGGGAGATGCTCTGCTCCACCTCCGAGATGAGACGCACTGCCTCGCTGTCTAAAGGTAAAATGAGAGACCTCAATACACTCAACCCAACATGATATTCAGATCTACAAGACAAATATGCAAAATAATAAAAAAAACACAGGACTTCATTTGGTACATAAGAGAGGCAAAAACAAGTATAGGGCTAAAGGTGCACTCCAGCCAAAATGATATATCTGACCCTTACTTCATCTTTAGTATATGCCTACTCTCCTCCTACCGTGAAGGAGGAAAGGCTGTAGAGTGAGATTTCCTAGTTTAAGGACTATAAAAAAACAAACTCATCTATAACGGTGTATGTTGAAGGTAGAAAGAACTATTGAAAGGCTACAACTGCTTTAGGTGGATACTTGAGGGCAGGTTGTTTGAAATTGTTCCCCCCTCCCCGGATACCTGGCTAATACAGAAGGAAGTAAGACAGTTAACAATAATGCTAAGAAGCCATCTGTATTTATTAGCCTTTCTATAACAGTCGGATAGTCAGGATTTATTTATCACCGTAGCGGGATTACCAGTGGTTGCATGATGATGTATGCTAGGTACTGTAGTGAGAGGACATTTATGGATAAAGACACAAAAGGCTACAAAATCATAAGTTCTATTAGCCAACAAAGATAAGGGATGCAATGCTGTGCTACAAAACATTAAACTTATATTACAGACCTTATTAAACTGTTAAAACATTCCAAAACACCCGCAACCCTAAGACAGGCGCTCCTACAATAGTTCTGGAGGCCAACATACACGCATACAGCCAGGATCACTGTGCAATATCCTACACTATCCAACAGCATAAGGCAGCAACCCATATCAAATACGAACACTGTTTTTCATTAAATGAAGAAATAAAGTGCTCTACAACAGCATTTTTTTTCTAATCCAGCTTTCAACACACCAGAGACAGGCAGTGAAAGGATGTAGAGGCCTAATATACCTGTCTGAAGACAGACTATATAGAGCCCTAGAAGACTTCACAAAAAATCTTCAGCCTGAATACAAATGAGGCGAGAAAAACACAGCAGGGCTGAAATAGTTCAGGTAGCGAAAGAAGACAGCTCACCTTGATTAGCTACCAGAGTCTTCAGCTCACCGAGTAGATATTTGACAGTCATGACTTTCCTGGCTGTCTTTTCTGGGCTGGACTGTACTGTGTGCTTCTTCATGCTGGTCTGACAGCTTGTATCTCTGACCGGTGTGGTGTCTACTCCAGCCAGCTCATCCTCCTCACTGGTGCAACCTCCACTCTCCTCGGAGCTCTCCTCAGCTCCTGAGCTCTGCTCCTGGTGACTGGAATGCACCAGGACTGGTTGTGGATAAGTTTGGGGGTGGCTGGTGATTGGTACCTGGGTGGGTATATGTGCTGCCACTGTAGGTGAAGGACAAGACTGAGATGCGTTCTGAGACTGTAGGGGAGCACTCTGCCCAACTGACAGAACATGCGGTGCACTTAAGAGGGGGCTGGGCACTCTAAGCTCCCCTTTTGCCGCTGGATGTATGGAGGCCTGGTGTACAGCAGACACTGTGGAGGCCACAGGATGCCGCTGGACAGCTGGTGCCACAGAGAGCAAAGCCGTGTACTGGGTTGGTGGGACTGCAGTGTTTAAAGCTCCATGTTGTCGTGATTGTCCTTCAGTGGCTACGTCCCACTGCTGAGTGAAGTAATGCATTTCTCCATCTGTCTCTCTATGAGACTGCTCTCCATGGAGATGGAGAGAGACAGGGAATAATTAACATACTGACAGACTGCAATGGGGCAAGAAATCGACAGCAGGCAGTAATCAAACTATCCATCTTGCAACTGTAGCTACCAAAGAACACATTTGTGGATGAAGCATGGATAGTTCAACTAGCTTCTCTATATTTAACTAATTATGTTTCACTTTCAAGCTGTAGATGTGTTGACTCTTACCGCTTGACTGTGAGCTGACGTGGGTCTCTGAGGGCTCAGTACTGGAGTAGAAGTGGTCAGACGACAATTAAACACAGTAGAGGGCTGGAGTCCTGCAAAACCAAATAGATGTTGTCCACATCTAATGAGAACTATCCTGCTGTATTCTTTCCATGCTCATGGCTCCTTTTTTGTTGTGTGCTTTCAAGTTCCATTCTCAAAAGCTCAGCGAGTTAACGACTGTGGTTGTGTGGTAGAGGAATGCTATCAATATGATAATCTTTCTACCATATTATAAGAGTCCACTGCAACCTTAATCACCCTGACAGTGTGAGCACTATTCTGTCCTCACACCTGTTTACAAAAGGATCCTGCACTAGCAGGTTACACAAATATGTAACACTGTGAGACATATTCGCAATACAAAACGTTCATAATTATTAGTTTAGCATGTACAAGTTACATAAGTCATAAAATAACATTCCTTTTATTTTTATTCAACATAAGGGACTAAAGGGAAAAAAGTGACTTAAAGATAAAAAAGACAATGGGATAATTGACCTAATATCCAATTAGTCATGCGTACCAGATATGATTTTATAACTAGAATAGTACACAGCTAGAAGCGACCGAGAGAATCTGGGTTAAATTTGTGTAGTAATATAGAGAGTTCAAAGTAGGGGTGCTGGTGAGGTTTTCAATATTGTCTGCCTCAGTTTCATGAATTTAAGCTAGCATGGCCAAAACATATGACACATCCCAAATAAACATTATCTACTAAAAGGGAAAACCATTCAGTACATTCTAGTTTTAGAATTAATAAATGGAAAGAAAAAAGTTAACAATGGGTTAATGGCGGCTGTATGTGACCTCAGCCGCTCACAGTTGCGTTGATATAGTGGGTAGAAAGAATTGGGCGCTATGTTTGCAGATGCTGTTTCACTAGGTTGCATGTTGTGTTATGGATTACACTCTGGAAGTTAAAAGCGTACGGAATGAAGCAATTTTGAAATGGATTTTAGAGGGACAGTCTAGGGGTTGTGGCCAGTTCCCACCGACTAAGTAGTTCCCCCCATCACACGATGCTACCAAGCTAGGGGGGCGTAGGGCAGCAAGTGCAACGTCATTGTTCAGTACAAACCCGCTTGGAGAAGAATGCTAAGTGCCAATTCTGTTACATCAGCTAACAGACGCACACACTGGCTAGCTTCGTGCTGGGTGATGGGGGAGAAGTAGGGCCATGCTACCCACCCAGCGAGAGCAAGGCCAATTCTGCCCTTTTCAACTCACAACCATGGATGGCTGTGGCATCACTGGGGCTCAAACCTGCTATCTCCTGATGATGGAGCCAGTGCATAGATGGTTAACACCACTGGGTGTTGTTTACAGTTTGTCTACAATTGCTCCAAATATTTGATTTTTTTTCCTAATGTTTTATGAGCCGTGCAGTGACAATACCTGCAATGTGTTTATCAAACCATACTGTGACATATCATAATAGAAGAAATAAAATATTGAAGAAGACGAAATAATAGACAGAAATACACAATAAATTCAACTATCTTGAGCCATATGCAGGTTTTTTTATGTTTATATGTTTATGTGGTTTTTACCTGTTGATGGAAGGCTGTTGCTGCCTCCAGACACTGGGCACAACAACGGAAGAGAATGAGGCTGAATATGCTCTGATTGTGTGGCTGGGGTCTGTGCGGTTGGCTTGACTTCTAACCCATGTACTACATCAACAGCAATGGGCTGTTGTCTTAGGCCTGGGTAAGTCTGGGAGGACAAGATAGTCTTCTGCACTACAGCTACAGAAAGAACACAAAGAGCCATTTAAACTACTCTATCTAATAATAACAGGTTGCATCTTTAGGCCCATAAAATCAAGATCACAGGGTGTACATGAATGATGCATATTTTACATGATAAAGCACATGCATCAAATCAGCATTACTTAAATACACACGTTTGGAGCATCACCTGGTTTTTTGGTTATATGTGAGACTGAGCTTGACTTCTTTCCAAGCCTCTTCTTCTCTGTGTCCACTTTGCCATGTATCCCCTTAGATTTTAATTTGGAAGAAACTGTCTTTGGGACTTGTGACTTTGACTTGGATTCTGTTGTGTCTGTTGAGGAACAGTGAAGACATGAAAGATGCACAAAACGCTACCAACTACAAGATTGCGTGCTTTAAGCAAAACATTAATGCTTCAAGTCAAAGGCTACCTGTTTTCTCAGAATGAAGTATACCACTGAGCAAAGCTGCACAGCGATCCAAGCCTTTGTGTATTGTTGTCACCTAGTCAGTACATTTAGTTAATGAAAGTAAATGCAGAGAAGAGGTATAACAATGCAGGAATATGCAAGATTATGTTGATGAAGGTCTACCTGATCTTCTGAATCAGTGGAGTAAAGGGAATATGCTGGTTCAAGAGGTGCTGCATGTCTTCCAACAACCCTGCAGCACAGTATAAGGCAGTCAGAGAACCATATAGGTCTACAGTAAAGAACATGTTAAAAGGGCATTCTGTCCTAAAACTAGCATTTAATGTGTTTTTGTTATGTTACATAATATTCTCTGGTGCACCACTTCATCCCTTAGCCTCATCAGCCTGAGAGAGTATTTCTATTAAAACAATTTTGCATTTTGTGTTTTCATCTAGAGGCTGATAAATATGACTGTGGTAGATGCTAGTTTAGTGATACGGCACAAAACACAACTGGTTGTCAAAGTCTTGTCCTCGTGAAAAGGATAATTCACACAGCTGTCGATACCCCAAGTATCCACCCCAAAGTACTTGCAGACTTTCAAAATGCACTTTAGTTTTCAATATACATCAGTAGGGTTTTAGTATTTTTCTAGTCAGAGTCAGAACTTTTCACAGTGGTGGTGATAGGAACCAGGTGTCCACCCCTAAAGCCCCCCTCACAGAAAGCTTATACATGAAATGGTTAGATATATGCTGTCTGATGTCTGACACATTGCTTTATAATGGTTGTGCGATAAACCTTTGACTTGAAATGTATTTTAATCAATTTATTTTAACCCATTCATGGCGGATGGGTACACGCAGGGCACTGTGAAGCAAAATAGTGCCCAAACAAAACTTATTTTATCAGATTTATGACTATTTTGCTATTATCAACATTACATATACAAACTCAGAAGACACATGTAGTTCTAGTGGTGGCTTTGGAGAGTAAATAAAATGGCTATATTTGTGTTGTTGACACGGAGACCCCTGGTTCCTAACACCACCACTGCAAAGAAATCATATGTTGGAGTCCATATGTTACTCCACAATGAACTACTTCACATCAAACCACTGTGCATGGCTCTGTATCTCAAAGATTAAATTATTCAGAAATTTAGGAAAACTGGTGGAATTCTCCTTTAAAGAGCTGCTTACGTTTTCTTGTTCACTTGTCCCCGCCCACAGCCTGTCAGTCTGCCTGACGAGACCACCTGCCAGTGACAGAGGAAGGAAAACGGTACAACAGAACCATTATAACCTTGATAAACAGGTCTGAAGCATATTAGAATAGTAAAATATAGTAAAATGAAGACAGTCCTCACCTTGTGTCTGGATTTTCCTTGTCTTGCCATTTGTAAACAAGGAAGGAAGTTAAAGTTTGAGCTCAGCTAACGTTACAAGTAGAGGCTGGTACTCTTATCGACTCACAGCCAGTTTTTTAAAACGCCCAAACACGTAACACAAAGCCTCAAACCCCCAGAAACTAACTCGAACTGCAGCTATGAAGAGTTATTACGTTAAACGTTTCCAGGACGTTCTACGTTTAAAGTCCTACAATCTCCATAACAGCCTGCCACTGCACGTCTGTTGTTCAAACGGAAGACAACGGTGCCCTTGACCAATAGAAAGAAAGCAACTCTTTACTTGAACTATTATTGGTGCACCTGATCTGACGTCAAACAGACGCGCTCGTCTATTGGACCTAACAGTTGCCGATCTCAGTAGCGACAACCAATAGGATTACCGCCGCTATGGGCGTGCCGCCTTTGTCAGGTTAGAACGCGAGACAGTGTAACCATGGAGATTGTTGTTAATTAAGCGTCTTTTCGCGGTTTGTTGGATTGTTATTCCCGCGTTTGGAAGATTTGATTCATTCATTAACTCATTCACGCGCTCATTGTCTGCCATAAACATCATCTAGATAAAAGCAGCCTGTTTAATTGTAGCTTAAAGGGGAACTCCACCGCTTTTGTAAAAATTCTACATAATTAAATGGTTGAGACAAAGTAATTCAGAGTGGTTTGGTGTGAAACGCTCCGTTCTAGAGAAATTTACCGAGTCAGATTTGTTCACAGTGGCGGTGATAGGAACCAGACGTCTAAAGAGTTTAATGCCTCTAAAAGCTACATCACAGAAAGTTATTACATGAAATGGTTCGATATTGCGGTCTGATATCTGACACGTTGTTTTATGTTAGTTTTGTGGTGAAGTTTTGGCTTAAAATTTATTTGAATCCATTTATTTTAATCCATTCATGGCGGATACATGCAGGGCGTTGTAAGGCAAAACAGTCCCCAAAGACAACTTATTTTTTACAGATTTATCTATTTTACCATCATCAACATTACCTACAAAACCATTTCACATCAAACCACTCTGAATGACTCTGTTTACATTTCAAGGTCTGAATTATTCAGAAATTTTGAAAAAAATGGTGGAATTCCTCTTGAACAAATGTCTATATGAGAACTAAATCTTGTTAAAGCTGTAGATATGTTTGCCTGTCTTGTGTCCCAAAAACAGTTTGATAGGATAACATGGCCATAAAGGGCCTGTGTTCTTCATTCTTTTCCTCATATTTTATCCTTCATCTGAAGTTCGCTTCTTGTGCGTGTGTTGTTTCTAAGTACCAAACAGTAGTAATGAATTCTAAGATGACCATTTCCAGTTTCTCTTCACCCCTTAGAATTAAACAGGTTGTTTTTGTTACAATGCTTTTAAGACCAATATATGTAAATGTCATCTGCTCTGATTGGCTGACCCCTTCACAGCCTAGGCTGAAGTGCAACGAACATATATATATTGTAAGACCTAATTATTGGGATGAAATAGTTTAGTGGCCTATAGTAAAAACGTAAAAGGGGGGGTTTACAAATTATAGGAAACACTACATGAAATACTCTTAATCATTGGCTCATTTATTGTATAGTAAGAGATGGGCTACTAGAAGTAACTGTAAACCCAAGTTTACCTACAATCAGGTCCATAAGTATTTGGACAGTGACACTTTTTTTTGTAATTTTGCCTCTGTATGCCACTGCAATGGATTAAAATGAAGCAGCCAAAATGTGATTGAACTGTAGACTTTCAGCTTTAATTCAATGGGTTTAACAAAAACACTGTATTAAATCTTTAGGAATTATAGCCATTTTTACATAGTGCACAGGATCAAAAGTAATTAGACAGTTGATTGATAGTTGATTGATGTTCCCTTGTTACTTTATGACAAATTAAGGAGATAAAAGGTCTGAAATGTTGAATATGCATACGATAGCTGTTCATGGGAACTCTCAATATTCGGCCCAAAGAGGTGTCGATGCATGTAAAGGGGGCATCATTAGGCTGAAAAAAAAACAAAACAAACCCATCAGAGAGACAGCAGAAATTTTGGGAGTGGCCAAATCAACAATTTGGTACATTCTGAAAGAGAAGGAATGCACAGATGAGCTCAGCAACACCAAAAGGCCCGAAAGACCATGGAAGACAACTAAAGTAAGTGATTGTAGAATTCTTTCTGTGGTGAAGAAAAACCCCTTCACAGCATCTGTCCAAGTCAAGAACATTCTAGAGGAGGTTAGCATATCATTGTGAAAGAGTCGCCTTTGTGAATGTAAATACAGAAGGTTTACCTCAAGATCCAAACCACTGGTAACACTCAAGAACAATGAGGCCAAATTAGACTTCGCTAGAAAACATCTAAATCCTGCCTAGTTCTGGAACAAGATTCTTTAGACAGATAAAACCAAGGTTAACTTGTACCAGAATAATGGAAAGAGAAGAGTATGGAGAAGGACTGATGATTCATAGCACACCACATCATTGGTCAAACATGGTGGAGGTAGTGTTATGGCATGGGCATGTATGGCTGCCAATGGAACTGTCTCACTGGTGTTTATTGATCATGTGACTGCTGATAGAAGTACCAATATGAATTCTGAAGTGTACAGAGCTATACTTTCTGCTCAGATTCAGTCAAATGCTGCAAAATTGATAGGACGGTTCTTCATGGTACAGATGGATAATGTCGTACCGCGACAGCAACCCAAGAGATTCTTAAGGCAAAGAAATAGAATGTTTCTATAAATGGCTGAGTGAGTCACCTGACCTCAACCCAATTTAGCATCCTTTTCACTTACTGAAGACTGAGGGCAGAAAGACCCACAAACAAGCAGCAACTGCAGGCGGCTGCGGGAAAAGGCCTGGCAAAGCATCTGAACGGAAGAAACCCAGCACTTGGTGATGTCTAGGGGTTCCAGACTTCAGGCTGCAGTCAATGAAAGCTGAAAATCTAAACTTCAATCATATCTTGACTTCACCATGATTTAAATCCACTGTGTTGGTGTACAGAGGCAAAATTACAAAAATTGTGCCACTGTTCAAATACATATGGACCTGATTATATATGGTGGGTGTTTCTGATCAAATGATCAGTGAGTATTTCCTGTGGTTGTTGTTATTTTGTAATCCCTCTACAGCCTCTGGGATATTTTATCCTATGTATGCACACTTAATGAATTGCACAGATGGCCACAACGCAGATTCTAAATAGAAGACAGAGATAGATAATAGAGCTATAAATCCATTTGCATTCCCATAAATTATAAACAAATCATGATACAGTTCCCTATTGGCTAAACCACTTAAACGGGCTGAGACAATGCAGCCCACTGTGCAGTTTCATAATGTGATGAACAATCATCTGTGAACACCCCGGTTGTTGTGACTCTGGTTTTATTGGCTGACGGAGTCCTTGGGGAGAGGGACTGATGAGGTTTTAGTGAAGGCCTTTCCTCCCGTTATGCCATTAGAGAAGTCATTCCAGGCGCACTTTGCGGCTGTTGATGAAATCAGACACCCTCACCACTCCGTTGCACACCTTCCTGAGGAAAGAACGGTGAAGAAATCACAGGCTTTACCAGGGAAGAGCTGACAAGACAGCATTTATACCCCAGCTGCCAATGAAGACAGTGTGACTCATTCGTGATTCAGCTATGAACAAATAAACTTTGTTCTTTCGTTTTTTGTTCCTTTCTATTTTTGTTCACTGGATCTTTTGTTCCTTGCTCAAATAATGTCTGGAGAAAAATAATCATACAAAAGTCTTTGTGTTAAATCACAATGTGTTCCAAACTGTCACATGTAACTCTTCTAGAAGTCAAGCCATGATATGCTGGGAGCATCTTTAGGTTGACTGCAAGCAGTGGTATCAGATAAAGGAGTGGTAACAGGCAGACAAAATGCATGAGAAGTACTTCTTGCAGATTTTCTGTCTTCTGTACAGTTCCAAAAATAGTTTGGTAGTACATCACTTAAAGATTTTACAATTTTCAGGGACCAAACGGTGATGATTCATTTTACGTGACCATTTATATGATTTTCTTTTCATACCTCAGAAGTAACCAGGCTGTTTTTGCTACTGTGTCTTTAAGACTGATATATGTAAATGCTCACTGTTCTCACTGGCTGACTCCTTTACAAATGAAATGAGGCACACCATATTCAAAAGCAGTCTGGGGGCTCCTGAGTGGCACAACCATTTAAGCACTGGCCGTATTTTAGTTGCCCCCTCATCATTCAGCATGATGCTAACCAATGAAATGCAATGTTGTAGCATTGCGTTATAATGGGAGACCTAGCTAGCAGGTAGATTAGGACATGACTACCTTTAAAGAGGAAAAAAGCAGTTTGTACAGAGAAAACGGTTTAAAATCTCTAATGATGTTAGAAAAAAATAACCTTTAATTCCCTTAATCATACATTAAATGCCAGTCTTTTACAGAATGTATTGTGTTTTTGTTGTGAGGGCACACACTAGATGATAAGGCACAGAGAGGATATTACACACATAACGAGTTACAGCTATGAAAAGCACTCAAAACCAGAGAATTTCTAGTGAGAACTGCCACTCAATAATGTCAATATAGTTTGTTTAATGCTCTCAGGATCTCCCTAATGAATGGCTTCCTAAGGAGCTTCTGTGCAAAATCATAGTTTGTAAATGTTTAATCATATTTATTACAGAAAAATATCAGCATAATACAGCATACATCTCAAATATCTCAAATATCTCAACATAATCTCAACATAAAATGACTCATATTTTTCAGTGCTTTTGAACTCCAGTATTAGGACAATGTGTCTTATGTACATTCATGAGGTCAGTGAGAGCGAATCTACACACTCAGCCAATGAGCTGATCAGCTCAACCAACCAATCAGCACTCAGTAGCAGTAATGCCAACCAATCAGCACTCGGTAGCGGGAATGCCAACCACGCAGCACTCAGCGGCGGTGATGCCAACCAATCAGCACTCAGTACCCGTAATGCCAATCAATCGGCACTCGGTAGAAGCAATGCCGACCAATCAGCATTTAGTAGTGGTAATGCCGACCAGTCAACACTCAGTAGCACTAATGCCAACCAATCTGCTCTCAGTAGCGGTAATGCCAACCAATCAGCACTCGGTAATGGTACTGCCAACCAATCAGCACTCGGTAGCAGCAATACCAATCAATCAGCATTTATTAGTGGTATTGCCGACCAGTCAACACTCAGTATTACTAACGCCAATCAGTCGCAATGAATGCTTAGCAGCAGTAATGCCAACCAGTCAGCTCTCAGTAGCAGTAATGATAGCATACTACTGCCCAATACCTTCTTGCTGTAGAGAAATGTAAACATACTAGTACATTTTCTTTGATTTTGTAACGGAACACATCCTTATACTTTCCAAAGTTAAAGGACATTCCTTCATAAATGACCAGAAAACCATCATTTTTAACCATTTAGCTTCATTTGCCTCCATTCATTAAGGGCGTGCTTGTCGGCTCCCTCTAGCACTTTGCATTTTGATATTAGCTCCCCATAAACTAGCTCTGCTCAAAACCCCAGAGCTCACTGTTATCACGTGATACAAACAAAGCAAAGGTGGACTGGACCAAATGCATAAAAGAGGAGGGTGGTTGGAAAACGAATGTGAACGCTCGTAACGCACAACACCGCGTGTGTTTACAAGGAAAGCCTCGTCCTTCAATAAAAAGAACCAATCAGCTTGCTGGTAAAGCCATAAGCAGGAAAATCTCCCACATTGTGTAGATATGAGCACACAAAGTAGCCAGAACAGCTGATGTTTTTGCATTACCTGAGCCAAACAGCACAAACTGTTTATACTGCTTTTGTCCGGTTTTATCAGTGATTTCAAATCTGTTTTTGAAACATTAATGTGGCTTTCAGTTTGGGGTTTATAAGTCTCTCCTCATTCAACAGAAAAGGAGCCTGGGTTTGTATGACTGTGAATTGTAAAGAGACTGACCTGCCTTCTGGGTCCATACATGATAAACATGTAAAGTCTCTTATTTGAGTGTGTTCGACAAAGCAGCTCCTCTTTCTCCAAAGTCCGCTGTGCTGCACAATCAGCACGCATGCACGTCTCTTCACCTTTTTTTCTCTTCTAGTTCTCTCACTGACAGTTGCTTAAATCACTTATTCAGTTACATCACTGACCATCTCACACTACAGGACTTGGTTAAAGTGTTGCTTAAAATCATGCAGTGTAGGCCCAGCTTTTAGAAGGTGGATTCAAGGTGAATGAGTGGGCATATGCAAATGTGTTCATGGTTATGACATCACAACCATGTCAAATTCAAAAAGGTCCATTTTTTTGCTTAGTTCCCATATATGGGCTGTTCTTGGGATGGATACTTGTAATGGACTTGGGATTGAGGGGTATATTTTAAAACTTTACCAATGAAATTTTCCATAAATTCTTTATATAAACAATGAAGGCTTCCAATATATAGGCCCTTTAACTCACGCTTGCGTTTCAAGGTAAGTGAGTGCCCTGTCCATTTGCCACTGAGGCACGTCCCCATCCACCGCAGCCAGGTATGTGTACAGATAACGAAAGGTCTCGAACGGCACACAGGCATCAGGAGGCTTACAGGTGGGGTCACAGTTCATGATGTAGCAAGCATGAGCCATGGCGACCTTGATGGTCTGTCAAAAATAAGCAATAACTGCATGATTATAGAGGAAACAGGCATACAGTTACATGTCAACAGTCTGAAAAGCACCCCTAAAAAAGTCCTGCCCTTTATGTTAGCCAGTATATAATGTAAATTGTAAAGAATATGGTGTTTATCATATTTCATGTTGTTGTCCTGTGAGGTTATTATAACTTTAAGCTTCACAATGTTGTGTAGACTGTATATTTACCCCTCCTAGGTAGCTGCAGCACAGGGCAAAGAACTTGATCCAGTCAAGCTCTGCTCCAAAGCAGCCAACTTTGTAGATGTGTTTGAGGAGGTTGTCTGACAGGCCAAGTCTCTTCCATGCAGAGCGCACCTCCTGCTTACTTACTGTGCTTTTCTTACTCAGCTGATGAAACAAGATTTAAAGGGACAATATTCTACATTTTGCTCACATTTGAATTCCGAATACATAGTTTTATGCGCCAAAAACAATCATATATTTTTACATAAACATTTTCCCTATAACAGAGTTCATATAGTTTCCTGAAAATAGGCTAATAGCTGTTTTACATAGTTCACCAAACTTATTTAAAAAAACAAAAAGATAATTTTTTTCATAATATGAGCCCTTTGAGGAGTGCATTTGATGGAAAAACAAATTTCTCTTTTGTCTGATGTAGAATACATTGCTAAAGTTTGGTATAATATGAAAATGAATGTAGTATGTAAACATTGCTAAATTAGACCATTCACTAACTAGCCCATACAATCCATATATGAAAACTAAACTGCAAAACAGCTCATTTGTAATTCATTGTTTTGTGATATTATTCATTCTCATATTTAAGTTTATCCATAACCCCTTCGCTTTTTGATGAAGCACAATACAGGTCAGCCAATCAGCTCTGCTGTATTTATATCAGTCTTAATGGCACAGTAACAAAAACAGCTTGTTTTATTCTAAAGGACAGAAAGAGTTTGAAAAATGGTCATGTGAAAATTTAATTGTGACTGTTTTTAATATATAAACCCACACAAATATCCTAAGTGGACCTTAGTGGAGACAAAAAAAGGACATAGGCCCTTTAAGACTTTGCAGCTAATACAATACCTTATTGATTAGAGCATTTGCACTGTAGTAATCAGGTCTGATACTTGGACTCACTCCATAGTTTTACCATCCAGGCTATTTGCTAGTTCTCATGAATGGCCTTAAGTAATTTGTGATACGTAGGCTACATGTCTACATGCAACCAGAGCTTCAAGGGGAATTCCACCAATTTTTCTAAATTTCTGCATAATTGAATAACAATTATTCAATTATTCGTTATTCAGAGCGGTTTGATGTGAAATGCTTCATTCTACAGAACCTTACTGAGTCAGAATTTTTTACAGTAGTGGCGATAGGAACCTGACATCTGAAGAGTTTAATGCCCTCACAGAAACATATTACGATAAATGGTTACGAATAGGCTGTCTTATGCGTGAGACATTATTTTATGATAACTTTTTATCAACTCAACTACTCTGAATGACTTTTACATGTCAGTGATTGGATTATGGAGAGAATTTCTAAAATTGGTGGAATTTCCCTTTAACCTGTCACTAGAAGGCCTCACCTGTGAGTGCATGGCTGTTAGGGCCTCAGGTGTAAGGTCCGTGGTGTAGACTCTCATAGGCATTTTTCTCACCGGGAGAGGCCGTCCTTGGACCAAGGCACTGAAGTAACTGCATGACAATCAAAACCACCAGTTAAGCTTAACCCCCTTAAATGGTTGGGTCCACCGGTGGGCCACACTTCCATAACCTATACACAGTTCTGTAACCTAAGAATAGCTCAGTCAGTTTGCACTGAAGTCCCTGTAGTTACTGATTAATAAGCCTTAGTATGTAATAAGCCTGGGATTTTCTGCAGAAGTAGGCAGTAATGTTATTCCATTAATACAATTTAATGACGTTTTCTTGCTAGTATTGTGCTTCTTACACTGTGGACCATTCAAGCAGATCTTCTGGCTGGGTTCTGATGGCATCCTTAGTAAACTGCTTCAGAATCGCAGGCAGCTCAGGAGGGATGACCATGTCTGCCCCCTTTTCGGACATCCTGCTAAAATAAAACCCACTCAGGGCTCAAACCAGGCGAGGAGGCAGGCTAAAGCCCTGCATGTGAATTATCACACAAGATACAGTGTTATAAGGGCCAAAAAGGCCAAAGTGGGCTTACCTAACACGGGTGTGGTAGCACAGATAAAGAAGCGATCAGCGTGGTTTGAATTAATTATTGCGTGGGGAATCACCACTGTGACGCATCTCTGGCGTTACAACGCGAGTCCACACGGGGGCGACACTTCACTGTCAGCAAAAGAGTACAGTCTTTTGATGGAAAGCTGGACTGTTCCTTGTGTTGTAGGAGAGCTTAATGTCATTTCAAGATCGCGGAAATCGTATAAAATAGTGTAAGATGTAAGTAGCAGTGTGTATGTCTGTCTGTAGGGTTTTAGTAGGTCAAGCCTGACTTCAGTGAAAGCTGGAGGCTCGATATGAATTACAGGAAGACTGGATTTCCTGGCGAGCTCTGATAGCAACATTTAAAGGGCCCATCACATGGAAAGCCTCATTTCCCTCACTTTTTATTTAATAAAAGCCCTTAATGTAGCATGTAAACACTGTAAAGGTGTCAAAATGTTCCTCAGTCCACACAGTTCACAACAGCCTGTTTTGAATTCATTGTTTTTGTGACGTCACGTAAAGTATTTACATAAAACCGCCTATTCAGCCTATAGCCTATTCACACTACCTCCCTTTTGAACGAGGTGCGAGACAGGTAGCCAATCAGAGCAGAGATCATTTACATATGTCAGTATTAAACACACAATAAAAGCCTGATTGATTCCGATGGATAAAGCTGGAAAATGGTCATGTAAAAATAACTTTGTTTTTGGTACAAAAACCCTCCCAAACATTTCAACTGGGGGAAAACAGAAAAGAAAGTGTTGGATATGAGCTCATTAACTTCTATAATGACACAATTCACACATGCTTTGGACTGCAAAATACATTCAGGGGGCCTGGTTGACAGTCACACGCCCATAAAAAAACTTTTCACCCAAACTGCAAAGAGGGATACAAAATTCCACTTTTGTTACAGAAATTAAGTCATTAGAAGTCTAAATTGGAGAAATACCAACAACAGAAATTATGGGCTTAAACATGTCAAAGCTATTTTTCCCTTCGGGTGAAGCTTTGGTGGCACTAACTATAAAACCTTCTGATGATCAGAAGAGCAGATAGGCATAAAGGAGGCTGAGCTGAGAAGAGGGTCAGAAGGACACCGTGGAGGACCCCCCTATTATTAACAACCAGGGATGGGCAGAATACTTCGTAAAAGTAGTGGTTACTGAATACTAAATACACTGTCCTAAATGTATTCAGTAATATATTTTGTTATAATACATAAAAATGTAACGTATCAGAATATGTTTAGAATACATGTACATCGTGGTTACTTAATTCACACTGTTGCTCCCTGTTACTGATTAGCAGTTTTCTACATGTAATTATTCTGTTAATTCATTTCATTAAAAATTTCTTATCATTCAAAACAAAATTCGTAACTGTGTTTTCTGTCTCTCGCCTGCTGCAGTCTACTACAGCTCCCACAATCCCCCTGAGCAGCAGTCCAGTACAACAGAGATACTAAACTTATCACTTGCAAAATGTCCACTACTGAGAAGATTATTAGTTTGATCATTCCTTTAAAACAACTCAGTAACACTTTGATTATTAACTGATCATCACATTCATTGATCAGTTTACTCAGGCTTTAGTAGAGCTCAGTAACACTGAGATTAATAACTGATCATCACATTGATTTATCAGTCTACTCAGGCTTTAGCAAGAACTTCAATGTTTGTAAAGAAGCCGTTAAATAAGATCCTCTTTAAAATTGTCTAAATGTCTAACAAGCATGTTTGCTACGCTACATGTGCGCTAATTTTAAAATAGTTCATAAACAAGCAGTGATAGTGTTTCTTTTAAATATTATATTATTTTTCTTTTATTTAGTTAGACCCAGGGAACCTAAATCTGTGTTTTCTTTCTAGTTAAGTTAATCTTGTTTACAGGCAAACAGTAAGTATACCCTTTGAATAATGTTCCAATGAGCAAAAAGTGACTGATATATCTCGATGTAAACTGGTCCTAATCTTGGGTAACGTTTCCGTAAACATTCCCCTGACCAATCACGGGGCTGATGTCTCTTGCCCCGCCCACACAAAACAGTTTCAGTCAGAGAAACTTAGCGAGCTAAAGCTAAACCAGCTAGCAAGCTAGACCACCTGTCTGTAGCTGCCTGCCCCCCCCCCACCCCGTTCATTCGTTTATCCATACATGAGCACTGCTCGTTCGTCCGTTTATTGGTCCGTTGTTCCGTCTACACATCTGTTCTTTCGTGACTCTTTCCGTCCAGTTAGCATCACATAAAAGCGGGTTAATGACCAGCTCTGTACGGGTGGCGGAGCAGGCCGGGAGTGTTGACAGAGAGCTGTCAATCAAGCTGCTCACTATCCACGCCCACACAGTTTTCAGAGTGTTCAGCGGTTTTTAAGTCTTTTTTAAGTATTTATATCTTGTATTTTTTATTCAAGCTTTGCTTGATGTTTAATAAAACACTCAGGTTTAGTGTCACACAAACATTTTTAATATTTTATTCTGTGTTCCCTGAGACTATAAATATTCTAAAAACATTCTCTTAAAATGTAGAAAGTAACTTTATTTTGAATACCGCCTTAACAAAATGTAACCTGGACAGATTAATTGCTGTATTCTGTGACATCCCAATCCTGTTAATGACCAGAGAAAGATTTCTTCAGTCATATCGGTACGTTTAGGGGCATTAAATGGTCAGTGTCTGGGGGCGTATGGGTTACAGCACCACCTTCTTTGTTTTTTAGTCCTGTGGAGCTGCAGCTGCCCGCTCGCGCTGGACTACACCGCTGAACCTGGAGCACGAGCCGTCCATAAAAAAGGCAAGGCGCGCGAGGTGAACGAGCTTCATTTGCGTCTTCGTTTTAAGGGGGGCGGGAGGGGGGTCTTTTCTGGCAGAGGCAGTGAACAATAGCGCCCGGTGCGGCGTGGTGGCTGTGGTGCTGTAGTAGAGAGGGTGGGTAGGGAGGAGTGGAGGGGGGGGGATGCACGGAGAAGCCGCCTCAGGACTAACGGACATCAACGGCCACGAGCTCGCGCGAGCTCTCGAGCTCGACTAATGGAGGCGGCCACGCGCTTTAGGGGGTTGCACACATAAGCTGGGGAGGGGGGCTTAGGGAGCCGGGCTTAGGGGAAGCCTACGGGGGTGCCATCAACAGCTGGAACATATTCTTAAAGGAAAAAAGAGGAAAGAAGCAAAAAAGATGAATTCTGCCGAGGCTGCTGATGAAGGACCGAACGATCCAGATACGGACCCGTTTTTCAAGACAGGTAGGTAACGCTAGGCTGCACGCGCACAGTCTCGCTTTTGTCCAGTTTTTGTGTGAGCAGTGATCGCTACACCGCTGCTACTGCTGCTGCTGTTGTTGCAGCGGCAGCGTAGAGACAGATGCCGCTGAACCGGAGCGTTTTCCCACCGACGCTGGTCACTCAGTATCGCGTGCTGATGGCGAGTGACAGCGGGAGAAAGACCTGATCTGTGTGTGGAATCGCGTGTGCGCGCTTGGCTCCCGGATAAATGGCACACCCATGCTGTAAATCGCACAGCCTGCCGAACCTAACATTACTACTTGGCTGGAAGTGAGCGCACAGCCATGTCTAGAAGTGATCGTACAGCCATGTTCCTCCCCGTGCCGATGCTGTGCACCGATGCTGCTCGTTTGGGAGCGTGCAGCCGAAACGCTCTGGAACGCTGAACGTGCTTTTGGTCCGTGCGTTGACATTCTAGAGCGTGCAGATCTACTCCAGAACGTGCATTCTCATTCTAGAGCCTGTGAACGTGCATTCTCATTTCTAGAGCGTGCATTCCAATTCTGGACATGCATTCTGTTTCTAGAGCGTGCGTTCTAATTCTGAACATGCATTGTTTCTAGAGCGTGCGTTCTAATTCTAGAGCGTGCATTCGGTTGTGCACGTGAAGGACGACCCCTCCGTGAAATATAGGGCGCGAGCGCACTACTGTTGTCAGTACCTGCTGCTTCCTACAATGACGGGACGCCCGTGCACGACAGCAGCTCGCGCCTGCGCTCGCGCTGCGGGAGTGGCTGGCTGGCTGCCTGCCTTTTGTCGAGCGTGACATTGGTTCGCGTCGCTCGCGCTAAAAGCCTGTTGATCGCCAGGGCTGCAGTGTCGAATAAATTGCAGTCTGGAGTTACACTTTGCGTGTCTGAGCTCATTTGGTCACGCATGGACAGGTAGGCTTGCTCCATTAGTGTTATGCTGTATACAAGACGAGCCAAGCCCAGTGTTCGAGGCCCTGCTGTGGTTCAGTGCCAGTGTTTGGGCCACTACATGCAGACCCTCTGAACTGTAACCTTTACCAGTGGCCTACTTCTTCTGAGCCCACCCAGCAAAGGCCAGCATGCATAACCATCTCTCTTGATGAAAAATCACCCTAAGCTCTTTATGCCACAGACCCCCCTCCCTATTGCGTCTGCTAATGTATATGTCTGCATGTGGGATTGAGTGGGTGATGGTGTGTGTTGGAGTGTGGGAGTGGGTGGCACGCTGGCAGAGGTTGTTTTCCCCAGCCAGCTGTGTCTGTTTGTTGGGCTGTATGTAATGTAATGATGCAGGTGTGTAATGTGTACATATGTGCACACAAATGTGTCAGGTCTTCTGACTCACTCTGCACATTGATGCCCAGTCCATAAAGAGCAGTAGGTGTAGGTGTAGGTTTGCAATGACATAAAGTGAGACATTTCATTAACACTGATTCATTAGTGCATTTATTTAAATGTGTAAATCATTTCCACATGAATAAAAACACTTATTATGTATATCTCTCATGTGTCCACACTCGCTGTTCATTTTATCGGGTCCGCTTGGTGTATAGGTGCACTTTGTATATCTGCAGTTACACATCAGAATCAAGATGTGTAGCTTATGGCTACACAGTAACTAACAATAGAACTTTCATACTTCTAATATAGACACCTTTACCTGAGATCCACATAGGAGTGGGCGATGTGGAAAAATCAGTGTATCACAATACTTAATGACATTTTGGCAATATGCAATATGTATCGTGATATTTTGCCACACAGACAAAATACGTTAGAAGTGTCGCATTTAAAATCTGCCATGAAAAACTATGAATACAATGATTATTATTCAGCATTGTACACACTTTTCTGCACTAAATCTAATTAAATAGCACTAATTATGCAGCTGGTCAGTGCTCTTAAATTACTGATGATATCTGTGATATTCTAAGCATATCATAAAAGCATATTGTAGTGTTTACTCTAGGATGTTTTCATGCAGCACTTGCCCCAGTCTTACATCTTTAATTTAACATGTACATTTTCTCACCATAAACTTGTAAACAAACAGGATACACTGTCCTTAACAGTAGCTCACCCTCGTTGGCTATCTAACTAGCGTTAACACATTACAGCAAGCAAGTAGCCAGGTTTGCACAGAATAGAGATACACAGTTCCTTTTGACCCTCTTTATTCATATTTCAGACCACCAAACATCCACAAAATGTAAAACTGAACTTGAAACCTTGCAAAATAAGGTCAAGCCAACCTCCTCACAGTGGGCTAAGTTAGCCAGTTCACTAACAACAGCATGTTAAAACTGTTTGAGTCTGAGCTCCACTGACGATCGCTTCATTCAGCACTTTGGCTCAGTTCGGCTCTGACTGTTCGCACAATGTTCGTCCACCTCCTGTAACAGTCGTTTCAAATTAAAAGCCCTCTGCAGAGTTTCATTTCATAAAATTCTGAAGCAGCGGCAGCAATAATTTCGCAAAATATATATGGCGGAAACACTGTGTTGTGTATCAAGATAACAAAAATGATCGCGACAATGATAATATATCATCATATTGCCCACTCCTAGTTCCACCACACTAATACAATAACGTCTACCAACCTTAGACAGTAACATAGACATCCATACCTGAGTTTTACCACACTTATACAGTAACACTGACATTCATACAGTTGTATTGTCTTATTATATACTGTTATTTAAATGTCAAAGCGACACAGTCATGTGCAAAAGTTAGGGCAACCCTGGTCAAATGACATTTAGTTGATTTTGGAAGTGAAAATAAGTGAACACATCCTCTACAGACAACACATTTCTGCACATTTTAATGCATCTTTACTGTTTATTTGTTCAGTTTAACATATTGGGGAAAAAGTAAAACTTAATATGTCGCCTGTGCAAAAGTTATGGCACATTTTATATTGTATAACATATGTATTATACATTTTTTAATATGTTAAACTGAATCCATTCAAACTTTTTGGTTTCGTGTCTATTACAAACTGTACAGCAACAGATAAGATGTCTTCTCTAACTTTACATTTGCAACATGAACCAAGGAAGGTGTTTCTAATAGACTGGAAAGTAAGTATACTCCAAGGGGTGTCCAATCCTGTTCCTGGCGATCTACCACCCTGCAGAATGTAGCTCCAACCCTAATCTAACACACCTGATTCAGGTAATGAAGGCCTTCAGGAGCATTTGAATATTAGAGCCCGGTGTGTTGGATCTGCAGTCTCCAGTGGGGGTAGATCTCCAGAACCAGGATTGAGCACTCCTGGTGTACACAGTGTTCAAAATCTCCAGCAGCACTCATGTGTCTGATCCACTTGTACCAGTGCAATACATTCTAACACACCACCACAGTGTCAGTGTCACTGCAGTGCTGAGAATGATCCACTACCTTTAAGACCTGCTCAGTGGTGGTCCTGTGGGGGTCCTGAACATTGGTGAATGTGGTAATAGGGGCTAACAAATTATGCAGAGAAATAGATGGACTACTCTGAAATTGTAGAACTAGAAAGTGGGCCGAGATGGTGGACGTGATAAAATGGATAAGTGTAGATACAAATGAGGTGTCCCAAATAAAGTGGCCGGTGAGTGTAGTATCTGATAAAACTTTCTGTGATCTCTCTCAGTGTGTTTTCTCAGATATGCTTCTGATGTGTATCAGAGAAGCTCCCACTCATCATGGCCTTAGCTCTGCCACCCCCATCCTGCTATCACCCACCTGTGAGGCCTAACATATTAAAAATCAAATGAAGCCTATAATACTCAGTGGGTATTCATTGGATTAGCCTGTTCACAGCATGAGGCATAGGCAATGCTCGCAGCACGCACCGCAGGGCTGGGCATGCATTAGATACTGGGCGTGTGATCTTAGTTACTGTATGCTAAATGTCAGGCCTGATTTGGAAGCAGCTTTGCCAGAAAGAGACTTCAAAGTCTTTATTTATGTCTTTATTACTTCAAAAAAAAATTTGCCGGTTTGGAGACATGGCCAAAGATTGGAGTGGACCATGTCGAATACCTACTGGCTAAAGGTCATTTCATTATAAGACAGTGTTGAATAACTAAACAGCTCAGAAGGTCTTTTAACTGTTTTTTTCCTCCAGAAAAGCAGCTTTGTGGGTGCTGAATGTGCGTTGGCGGATCAGGCCAGTGAAATCCAAAGGCTGTCAGAGAGCAGAGGAGGCTAAGACTGCTGTCTGAGAGAGAGAGATCACTGTCAGTGTGTGGGGATGGATGGACCCTCAATCACTCCCATCCTTACACACTGATGCACACACACAGGGTCCAGTGAGAGAAGGAGTGTGTGGGGGTGTGTTTGTGTTCCTACTTGTATTATCAGTTAGTTTAGGCCTAAAGCCTAAAGCCCACAGTGCACACGGACAAGGAGGTGGGAAGTGGGAGTGCAGTTAACATTGGTCACCACTGAGCTAATCTGCATAAAGTTTGTTCAGAATGAGAGAGCAGGATGAGCATCAGCGGTTTGATGTTATTATGTTACTCAGTGGTCTGGTGGACCCGCCCTATTTTTTTGTTTTTGTTAAATCAATACAGCCTTAGCAATTTATGTAAAAATGCCAGATGTTTAAAATATCACAAGTGGCCAGCGTAGCGTTCTTCTTTAGCAGCTGTAGCCAGTCAGCAGCCTGTTGTCCACCCTCACACACACGCACACATGTACAAACACACACACACACACACACACACACACACACTAACAGCAGGCCAAGTAGGAGAGTAACAGAGTGAAGGACACAGCACCTCCACACTTTTATTCCCAGCAGGTTCACCCAACACCACATGTGTAATATAAATGTATGGGGGGTGAACAGTGTGAAGACACTGAAAATGTGTTATTTTAAAAAGATCAATGATTAGAAAATGATCAAAGGCCAAAGAATCTGAGGTTGAAATAATAATAAATCGCATAATTTTTTCGTTTGGTAAACACTGAAAATCACAGACCTGAGTACCACACAAG